ATAAGATAAAAATTCACGCTGCAAACTAGCACAAATCTTAGTCATAGTAGTTTGTATCTGACTAGTAAACTGTCATAGTTGTTTAATGTATCAATGTTAATGTAAAGGCCCTTTCATCTTTTTTTTATCGGTCTTTAAAAAATTTAAATAATGGTAGAATTATAATGTATTCTAATAGTGTTTTAGAGAGACATGTCAGATTGTAGCGAAGCTAGCTTTCTAGTCACGAGGTTTAGGCTTCAAGAAAATGTCGTCTTACCGTACAGGGGAAGATGTGTCGAGGCAAAATTAGCCCACATGCTTCACAAGCACTTAGAGGATGTAAAAATAGGGCCTGTACTCTAAAGCGAAAGCTTTCTCTACGAGGAGAAGAACATGTGGTTTGTTTACGGGTTTTAAATATTTGTAAAATAGCTCCGGTTTATTGGCATAAGCATACTTGTTCGTATGTGGCTTCATTCTGCTAAGAACAAGGCACTAACTTACGTAACTTGTAAAATATAGAACTAAATTAGTTACTAGGAATAGAACTCTCGTTCACTTCGTTGAATGAATAGGTATCACACATTCGGAGCGTTGGTTAAGTGAATGAAGAACATTATATCAACTGACTGCCTGTCACTGGTCCACCTACGTGGTAGCGGAGTACATAAGTTTACATTAGAGTTCATAAAGAAGTTCCTTACATGTTCTCAACATAGTTAGTTTTTCCACGATGATTTCCTACCACGCAAACCAGAACGCAGGAAAACCCTTTAGAACCACTACGAAAATTGTCGGGACACATGGCGGCAGATAAGCTGCCATTTGCTTTAAAATAGAGATATCTCTTGGAAAAGGTATGTTATCGATTAAAGAATGAAGATGGTGCGAAACAAACCAGGAAATACCTTATACCTATTTCCTTATCGTAACGTAAGCTATCGCATGTGTAGCTGAGGGTGTTGATCAGATCGACTATGAATTCAACGCCGCTTTTTCCACCGACGACCAAATTCTAGGGACAGAAACGAGAGCCATGACTGAGACACGCAAGACGACCAATATTTATTGGTTTTAATTAAATGTTCCTAAATGCCTCCCTCCGAAGATATAAGCCCCCTTTAGCTATGGCAGGCGACCACGAATAGAGAGCGGATTTTAGACGTTATGTCAATTTCTATAGTAACGCTTATTCTAATGGCCAAAAACAATATCAGGACAAGAAGATTAAGTTGACCACAGTGATATTTAATAGCCGTATCTAAAAACCTGTTACTTGCAAAAAGCCAAAAACTCGCCTCTGATTTGGTCAAAGATGGTCTCTCATCAATGATAGTTTCTGCTAAGCGCCGATGTCTCATTGAGTAGTAATTGAAATTAAGCATGGGCGTTTTCTTAGCTTTCCGTAGATGTACGTCCTTCATGCGCTCATTGCTTGTTTAACAATGCTGAAGTCTTGCAAAAGCGTTTCCACGTTAGACAAGTTGCCCGCACAGACTGCAGCGACATCGTGCGTATATGTGTGTGTACTGACGTGTGCTGTGTTTACTTAGGATTGTATTGGAACCCCTTCAAACACACGCGGCTAAGAGAAGCCCTCTGTTACTCAGAGAATTTTTCTAAGTCAACCGAGAGGCAGATCAAATCGCGCAAGTAAAGGATAAGAGAGCCTTGTAAGAACTATGCCTTCAGGTAATTTTTTTGCCTATTCAAGGCGAGTGTCCGACCTGACAGGACGCAACCTGAACGGACTTAGGCAAGTATAAAATTCGACTTCAATAGAAATATGTAGTGCAGGAACTCGGAAGTCTAATTTAATAGAAAAAATACACAGTTGAGAAAACTGCAAGCACTAACAGAGATAGTCGCTTATCAGTGTATGCAAACTAGAGCCATAAATGGATGGCTTCTCATACATTTATACGTATTCCCAGGTTTATCTTCATACACCGTATGCAGTTCCGTCAAGTTCAGGTAGAAATACAGCGATGGTAAAAAACAGTACAATTCAATAGATATAACGCAAAGTTTTACACTTGTCATGTGCGTTTTACATATCCTGTGTGGCAGGAATTCTTTTTGGGGGTTGTTTCTTACTCTAGTTGTATCTCGGAACATGTTTATGTGTCTATAAGTCTCTACATATTTTACACGATAAGTGTGCTTAGTAAATTGGCCGACGTATATTTTCTTTAAATTCACCTAAATTTCATGAATAAATTACGTGCATCGGATTCAGATGCGACCACAGAGATCTTTTAAGATCCACAGCCATGATACCGACGCAACCTCACAAAATAATAATACCAAATAATCTACCAAAGCTAATAATGACTTTCTATGAAAAATTTCGCGAATTCATACTTAAGACCTGTGCTCAGGGGTATTCAGATCTGTGGCCGATACAGTTGTTTTTTTTTTACAGATGTCGAGTGTTTACCATGATATACTTTATCTAAATAACCTATTATCGAATGGGTTGAAGGCGAAGAAGCACTAACAACATCGACTGGTCCCGAATCATAGAGGACGATAGGGGGATCCTATAATGGCGAGATATGCAATGGAGAGACCCAATGAAACTAGAAATTTACTTGCTTTTTTAGCTACGCGCACTACGAGAGAATCGAATAACTACCGTACTTATCATTGTTAGCAAGGTAAGTTTACATACAAGAAAGACACATCAAAAGACGCATGATAGGTACTCGTACGCAGGAAAGCAAGCGTACGTAGTGCTCAGGTTTGATGGCCACCTGTAATTTGGTACAATCGACCCATGCTGATGCAACAAATGACTACAATTACAACTATTCGATATTAGGCCGAGTCAATAAAATGGGCCTGGCGAATTTTTACACTTTTCTGTAAGGTTCATCAATTGTTAGTAGCGTTTGGTATCCTGTGCTTTTGCGAGCCTCCCATCAAGCTTAGATAGAATCAAGGGGCATTGATTTGCAACTAGATAGAATTGCGACTATTACTTATGTGTTCGAACAACCTTATGACGCTCGTTAAGATAATTTACAATGCCCGCATTTCCATCTGTATTTTTGAAACTGACATACAGCTCACTGTTATAGATCAGTGGACAGTAATTTATCATCTATTAGTATTTGTTTCAAGTCAAAAAAAAGTCAATAACCGCACCGATATGACGCTGGCCTCACCAAGCACTGGCAGCACCACAGGCGTCGAAAACATGCAAATTCGACAAAAGGCCTGTTTAGCTGAAGGAGCAGACAAAGTCTATGATAGGCTTGGAAAATTTGCATAAATAACTGGCACATAATAACTTGCTGTATTTTCGGAACGACCTCAACCTTTTATAGTCAGCTTCAGGTCTATAGATCGTGAAGGTCCAAATATACTTCTTCCGTTTTTATGTTTCGGATAGCTGATAACACACTTTCAGTGGGAAAAACCGACACGCGGGTCCAAATCGCTTCAGAAACTTGCTGTAATCATGCGAGAGTATGCTGGGGTGTGATGATGATCGGGCACCGGTTTTAGTTGTAAAGAAGAAGCCCGAGACACGTAACTGAGGATTACCTAGGCAATCTCTGCTTAAGTTAGGGTGGTCTGGCGGGGAGTAAAATCTCTCAAGTGCTTTTAATCCCGCTAACGGCCTACCGCATTTCCTACGATTCCTGGAATATATACGAGCGATGAAATGCGTATTCAGAGATAATAACACGATTTAATGCCGATCGATAATTAACTATCCCGCTTGTGACACGTTTTAGGATGAGTTCGAGAAAGCTGCATCGACCTAATAAAATTTTGCCTCTGTTTCCGTGACGCATTGACCTAACTGTGACGCAAAGCGTGTGCTTATTATTCGCCTATTGCTCGTGTAATGTCAGGCGGCGTCTAGGAACGGACAGTGGTTAAACATTGAAAAGCATCAAAACGTAAAACTGGAAATTGCAAAGTGGTTTGTTAGTGGTACGCAGAAGTTTTTCATAGGTGCTATTGCTGTTTTGATACGCGTTTGAGTAATTTTTTTGTCAGGTTTGTTATTTTTACAATGGAACATAAAGTTAGGTATACCGAGTTGAACGAATAAAGCATGAAGCCACACTAGTTAGGTACGCTTGCTTGCGTGTCAATGTGCTGTGAGAGATAAAATTGTTGAAGATGACTTTACGGCATATATATAATATTTTTTTTTCATTATTTTACTTGCTATATGCTTACCTTTTCAACTTAAAGTAAAAAAAATTGCTGAAAAAAGGTAACACACCAGTTGGGAACTTACAGGATCACTGCTGTGATCACAGACAATTAGTATCCATCTGTTCATATTCAGAACCCGTCCAATTAATCAAAGCGTTATCCTCGTCTTATGATATATGAAATTAAGAATCTCTCTATTGACAGTATCTTCACTATGTCACTACGTTCTTCCTCCGAGTTGAATAAACACTTATGGTCTTCTCCTTTGAAAACAAATGCCGAACATACGATGATCCCGATTTGGGAGTTACATAAACGATATACCTCGCTTCCGTGGGATATATATTTGGAATTTATATTGTCGAGGATTGTTTCTGTGGGCCGTCTCAAACTCAATGGGCGTCAGCGAGTGATTTAACACCGTCCAGTTTATCATGGCCGCATTCTGCATCGCAAAGATTCTATTTAATTGGTTGGGTACATTTTTTGCCAATATTGGTTAAACCAGTGGTAGCATTCAGCACCTGTGCAATCTGCATTTTTAAAGCGGCGTTTTTACACAAACTTGTCCTTCAGGCATTTTGATGCGCATCGCGCGGGTGTGTCCAGGGGTAATATTATCTCTATTATGATCTACACAAAGTTACTAATGTCGCAGTATTCAAAGAAGCTGGTAATTAGCAGATCAAAAGTTCCAAACAGCATTTCATGACTTTAAGTTTTCACTTGTTGACCACACCAACTTATTACGACGACTATAGGTAGATATGGCTGCCTGTAACATCAGAAGATCATAATACCTCGTGTCCTTTCAGCTCAATGGTGGATGTTTGGCTTACCTTTTTTGAACGGGCGGGTATCCTGGTGGTGTATAGGTAGAGGTTTGAGACGAGCCCTGTGCTACCAGGTCCTGGATTAAGCTGGCTGGCTCTTGAACAACAGATGAAGGAAAAGTTTGTCGTGTAAAACCACTAGTAGGACCACCGGGTGCGCCATACAGAGGCAAGCCAGAAAAGTTGTTATAGAAGTTTTCGCCAAACAGTCCAACCATCGTTGCATATAGCAGAAAGCCTCCGCCGACGGCCGCCAGGCCCCCTGAAACGGTATTTAACAGAGCGCTCATCGCAGCGGCGCCTGAAATATAAAACAGGGAATGAGTTAGAACAAGGCATAATTGCTAACAAATGATACAAAACATGTTGAGGAACATAAATAATGATTTTTTATATTTTGTTAAATATATATATATATATATAATAGCTAAAAACGCCAACACTCTCGAAATTACAAATTTTGGACGGTTCCAATGCCACAGACAATGTTGCGATACAGGTACGAGAGCATGTAATGCTTGTACATAAAACTGAAAGCTCTCTGAAACGAATTGTTACAAATACACCAAATGCCCAAAACTCATAAATATATATGCATCACCGTATTTCATAGTCTTCGCATTTCGTAGCGGTTGTTTCATAGCCTACAAGCTACTCATATGTACACTTGTTGAGTTGACCGATGCATAAGGGTTTACTGTCAGGGTCTTTTTAGCCCAGACTGCCTTCGCGATGGTGGGTTACATACCCAAACGTTTAAACGCATGCCTTTTATAAGGTTCGAGTGAATCATTAGTAGAGACTACGACCCAGTGGTAATTTATTGGGCAACCGGAACAAACCGGTTGTTATCGGTTATCCTGATGGGGCACACCTGGCACCCTGTACCCCGTACACACCTGACGCCTGGTATAGGGCAGCTGTTTCCCTCCAACAGACACGCTACAATAACCCTCGGGCATAACAGAACTGGGCCTCCTTTTCGCCTCGCGTCCAATAAACCGTATAGCCTCACCGGACGTGACGCTTGCTTTATGTAATACGGTGACGAAGTAACATCCAAGATGGTTGAAATTATCGAGGGAGGGAAAAGTTAAGGTTTATAGCAGTGGGATATTACAATGGAAATATGATTTGTCCAAGTTCGGTTATTTTCTACTACATTTGTCCGTAAGCTGTCATCAACGTCGGCTAGTACCGGGACAGTTGGGGTTCGAATAGTTTCCCGTATGTTTAGAAACGGTCGTTAGTTGTGATGCGGTTAATTCAGATGGATCAGATCAGCTATAGAACTATTTCGTGGATTAGAGCACGCAGATAAATCGTAAGCTCAATGCCGACCGTCGGCTGACATAGCCTGTCCAAGGCGCCATCATAAACTAACTACCATTGTACTGTAACGTGCACCTTTACTTCCGTTCACCGATCATAAAAAAGCAATCGAAAATTATATTTTGGCATATATGAACTTTTCAATCCAGATCTAGGCTATAATCTAATTTTTAAACTTTAAATTAAAAATTTTAAAGTGTAACCAAGATTCGCTTACTATGATTTGGTCATCATAAAATAGTTTGTTAGACATGAACTATCATTCCATCAGCGAACGCTTTCTATATTCGCTAGCCTGGCTCCGTTGCATATTACGCTTGCGAGCGGCAACGATCAGGACACAGTCGGTAGATTCGCACAACGAGGGAAGAAGTTCCTGTGATTAGCTTATCCTGTATACCTGTCTCTTTATTTAGGGATGTCTTCCATCCAATTTCCCCTGAAAAAATATGACGGACGAAGATCAATGTAGCGAGACGCGAGCAGTTATCGTAATCTGCTCGGCAAGACGCCGGGTGGGGCGACAGGCACGCCTGCCATATCGATGGTTCCAACGGTGTGTAACGGCGAAAATGGCTATGATAGCCATCGTAGCTCTATGTGTAGCCACCGCGACACTACTTAGAGCGATGACAGAGTGCCTTTCCTTTGTTCTCGGCAGTGCACGTTTTAGAAAGCAGGCCTCCTTCTGCTGCCCCTGGCCTCCTAACCGTTTTGCTGTTCGTCCATACAAACGATAGCGAAGACTTCGCCAACAGCAGCGACCAAAGTCTCTACATTCTCCCTTCAGAACTACTATTACGTTATAACACCTTTAAATGAAGATGGCATTTCGGTGCGCGTGATGACGTTGCGCGTTGTCAACTAGCATCTGTTGCGATGCGTTACGGAATCTGCGACAGAGACGGTTGAAAACGGCAAGCGAATAGGGTTTGAAAATAAGTAATGGAGAAATTGTTCACAGCTTGTGTACATTTAGGCGCTCGCACACTATGAGGAACAACTAATCAGAAATTGCCATTAACCTGGTTGAACCACTTATTCCCGTTACATGGGTATCATAAAATGGACCATATCATATGGGGATCATAAGATGGATCATAAATTATATAGGTTTCACTGGTAACATAATTAGGATGTGCAGCATTCTTAAATGACCGGCACTTCGAGCTGCATTCAACCGCATTCGTCGGTGTTATTCTGAAGATGCGTTCGACGCGAGATCGGCGGCGAAGGGAAGGCTTTACGACACTGGTCTATACTGGGGCAAACGATTCCCAGCCTCGCTGCTGTATGCTTACCATCAGCTCCACCGTTTCTAGTTTCACTAGTGACAACGAAGTGGTATTAGGTTCGAAAACGAAATGGCGTTAGGGAACGCAATAAAAACAAAGTCATTCAGCTGAAGGATAAATAATTAGATCTATTGGCGTATAACAAACACGATGTTAACAATGACTTTAGGCCGAATTCGCAGTCATCGCGATTAGTAAATGTCAGATATTTCGGAACATATCATTAGCCCGAATAAGCATTTTTCGAGGTGCTTAAAATTCTACCTAAAGAGCTATATGTTAAGACGGCTTCTGAGGGTCCATGAGGAACAAGGTGTTCAAGAAAGGCGTCTACCTCATTGACAGTCTCCCATATCAAGTGGGTTAAATCACGTTTTAATGCTTTCGATCCACATTTTACCGCAATAGGTAAATGACGCCTGTTCTGAGTTTGGAAAACCAAAACGATATGCAGAATATGGAGAATGAAAAAAAAAAAAACGCGTAGGGAGGTTAAACAGCACCTCTCCTGATAGAGCAGTATCTGATAGTTTCTTTACGGTGCCATACCTGTTTTGAAATATCGAACAATACGCGTCTCTATAATGTCTATTTTACAGTTACATCACGGCAAGCAACTGCTAGTTCCACTTGGGTAGGTAGATAGGTTCGGCTCGTAAAATGCATAATTTCTTAAACACGGACATTGTTATGTTAGCAATGCCACAAAACTAGTAATTGACCTCTGGTCTTCATATAGGTTTTCGTAAACTCCATCAAATGGTATCACAGGTCACCTCGAGAAAACAAACTAGTGCGTTCGTAAAAATGAATTATGGATCTGAGACTACCACTCGTTTCTCATTACCCCAAATAGAGAATTAATAAACTGGACCACTTTCTATATGCCCTAGATAATAAATAGCACGACCCAAATACGGCTAGGCAAGCATTCATAGTGACAAATTATAGCGAATACCACGTAGTGGCGTCAAACGCAAAAACTTCGAGATTTACGTCCGCTACTGGACACGAGAGTTGCTTTATATCTGAAGTGGGACCAGTCGCAACTAAACTAGCGATTCCGGCTTTCCCCTGAAGCATATCACCTGAAGCTATAGTGGAAACTCTACTGCAGTTAGGTGTAGCAGAATTCATACAACCGGCGCTTGAGCATATTTCTATTTTTGTAAGCTTTTATCTAAATGCTCGTTTCGAATTTGTACGCCCGATCTGTCTCACCTAAGCATCACTTCAAACGGCTGGCCCTCGGTATGTCACGAATCGTGCGCCCACCCATGTCCGGCTTTCAACCTACGCCACCTACTATGTATCTAGGTTTAGTAGGCAACCGCGTTACCACAGCGCCATCATGGAGCTTTGACATTGTACTTAGATTGTTATGTCTCTGAGTTCTGAAGCAATCCTGATTCCATCAAAGTGATGCTGAATTTCCAGAAGATTTAGCAGATTCGTTTGTGACGTTTTCCTGCTGTCCTTTGAATAACGATAGGAAAATTCATTAATTCGATAGTGAGTAGACGATGAGAAACCGGATACACCTAAAATTCCGAAAATTTTTCTAATTTAAAACGCCACTACGTTTATAAATATACAGCCCGAAACCTTTCAATTCTATAGAATATTTGTTAAGTTAAGCTTCGACACTATGAGGTACAAATCTCGTTTCGCACGTGACGACGGTAGATATGGGGGCGTGCGCGCTGCGGAATGAATCAGTGATCGTCACAGACAACGCGCCATTGATTTATCCATTGGAAAAACCCTATATTCTGTCATTAACTATTTAGGGAAACTAGCTGTTACACTTACCCCTATGCAAAGCCTGCCGTACTCCAAACTTTTGCTTGCCCTGAACGTCATCGGCGTATACATGCTCGTATATGGTTTCATTGTTTACCACCTTCGTTGTCACGTTTTTCGGAACTATAATCGGTGCTAATGTTGACCTGTATATGAATAAAGGTGTAAATTACGTTTTATGTGGAACGTAATAATTTAGATAGTTAAAAATATAGAACAGCCGTTCATAGTGTTCCTTAAAAAGATCCTACCCGCATTACCATCTAAAACATAAGGGACTTGGCAGCTAAGCAGAATTACCAATAAAAGTAGATTGCTTACTGTATTATTGACACATCTTAGTTTTTGCTTGAAATAAGACATATTTTCACTAAAGTAACTACGTATAGATATAATCTAGACAAGTGGATTCTTCGCTAGAAAGGGTCGCTTTGCACATTTCTTCCTTCTACATTCCGTTAGCGCTATAGGAACTAGTTTATAGACTTATATTTAGGCTATACAAACCTAGTAAAATAAGTATGTATTGGGTCAGCTTGGCTGAAAAGAGTATTAGGCCTCAAATAATGCAAAAAAAAAAAAAAAAAAAAGCTACGATGTGTACGATCATGTTCGTTTCATGTCTCATAATCATTATAGTTTTACGACCGCATTTAGAGCTACAGTGATATCAAAGAGAAACTATTGTAAAAAATACTGTATTTATATTTATCAGCGTGCACGGTGGTGTGTTGGATTGTTTCAAACTTCGGCGTCAACGTATATATCATCCACATGTCACGTATTGTATGGGTGACGTTTCGGCGGAGTAGTAATTTCCAGTGCTAGAGATCTATTCGCTTGCACACGCTACATTGCTTTCACAGGATTGTTCTGCGATAGACGAAATACAGAATCTCGTATCAGTGAACGACATGTCTAGCTTTGTTTAAACCGTACCGGGTATTGAGCAAGTCCTGTTGGCTTTGAAGAGACCCTAATGTCTTATGGATAGATGATGGCATCACATTCTCTACCAGGTTTAGTTTATGGGACAGAAGAAGCCTCTTTTTATGGGATACTCAAACCTAGCAGGAAATAGGCCCAGTTTCGATCATATTTCAGAGGATATTTTTGAAATTTCGTTAGCGAGCTGCACATGCTACCAGATGCCATAAAGAATAAATCGATAGATGTGTCCCATCTACTTGTTCTATAGGGTGTGATGCAATATCATCGCGTATTTTCTTCGAATGCCTTTCATAGATCTGCTCTGGCGTTTGCCGTCAGATATTTTCGTAAGTTCTTATCGTCATCCGACTGGAAACGTATTTTCTTCTAAAACACATCCGCGCTAGATAACAGCCAATCGGCAGCGTTCCTGCTATTTCAATTAATTTTACTTGAATTGATGCCGTTCACGTTTAAAGTAGATTTTCCTTTCAACCTCTTGCTAGTGTCGCGCCACCAAGACAAGTTCCTGAGTCAGGCAAACTTCTTACCTGCGCAGGGTGTATACGTGCGATAAAAAAAAGTTATGCACACACAGTCATAATAGCCATCATTTAATAAGTTGCCAGAGCGTCTTCTGACACGCCTGACTGGCAAATCTTGCCAGTCAGGCGTTAGAAGTAGTGATACGTCTTAAGGGCCATAATTTTCAGTCGTTAGCTTTAAGTGTTGGCCAGTAAGGCTGCGAACTATATCCGCTTTATACTAGGGATTGATGCATATTAAGATGTCGAAACTCCGTTTCGAAAACTCGAACTTCCCCCAAACAACTGGTAACTTTCTCAAAGCAAAGACATGAGGATGGTAAGTATCAGTAAAGATCAATTGCATAGTTCATGTCGGATCTATCAGATACTTCAGACAAGCAAGTTTAGCGACACTAAACATTCGCTGGGCCCTTGTAATAAACTATTTTCGTACCTAAATAAACATTAATACGCGCGAAATTTCATACATACATACATACATATACATATGATGAACTTTATGAGAATGTGATGATTCTACGGAAAAATAAAAAAAAAAACATGGATGCAAATCATTTATGACCAAGCAGAAATGCTTGTTGGCAACAATCAAATACAGCTGGGGCTCGTATACAAAGCTAAAGGTATTCAAGTAATAATGAAGGAAACATCGTGAAGTTCTGTCAGGCTAGTTGAAACAGTTCGGCTGTAGTGATGATTTACCAACTACTGATTACTAGAAGAGCTTTCGTCTCGTTCTCATTGATCTAGCAAGTCCCCATAACCTTGCCACGAACCCAATCAGCCCGACGCATTACCTCAATTCGAAGAAGCGAGTTCCGCAACGGCGTTTGTTAATGTTGGGTAACTTCGACCGAACGATGGTAGCATTGCTGAAAGTAAGTAAACTATTATTGTGATTATTTGTCATCTTATATATTTTTAACTTAATATATTATTGCGAAATCAGAATGTGAACTAAATTTACGAAGCTAATCTTTTTGAGCCAGAGGCTCGCTGCTTCATGTCCGGCCGACTACATAAGTTGTAAACCAGACGCATTGCTGAGTACTAATTACCGGGCGCTGATGAGTACTCTTCACTTGTTGTTGTACTCGTTTGCGGTACGTTGTTCTTTTGATGAGACTTCTGTCAAAGGCAAGGCAAGGCTAGGAGTAAATAATTATTCAGTATAAACAAAGCTACTAACTTGACTAAAGTAGACTGAATTGCAGTTTTGAACGTCGAGGGCCTAACTTCTAAGTACCTGGCGCACGGTCGTCGATTTGTTAACTAGTTATAACTACGTACACCTTGTCTAGTATCTTGATACAGTCGAGGCTAACTTTCTGAACGAGCCCTGAACTACTCTTTAACACAGTTTGTGTGCGCACATGATCGAAAATACTGCCAAAAACACACCCCGATCTTGGACTAATGATAATAACCTGGCGGCTGATCTATTTGCTGCCTGATTATCTCGTCTGAGCTTGAATTAGATGAATGAAATTCATCTCTTGTTTGTTTAAAAATACGCATACGGGAGTCTTGACTTGATATATCGTCTTAATACCACAATTTTAAATAAGACACGTTCCTCCTTCTACGTTCTAGTTATCGGCTGTTACTGCATCTAGTGCTTGGCTTTCGAATTGAGCAAAACAAAATAAGAATTAACTAAATAAAAGATAAGAGCACGGACAAAATGAGAAATCGAACGGAAATTCGTCCCCTTTAGGTACTATAATCATAATTAGTTAAAAGACCTCTTTAGCTCGAGCACTATATAAATATCCCGATTTTGCATATCGCTAGTTTACAGATTGGTTGGATTTATGATCTTACGCATTCATAGAATTTAATTAGGTAAAAAAAATCATTTTCTGTATGTTCACGCGAGTCGTGTTCGCAAAGAGAAAACCCATTTTGTCTTATAGCAAGCTAGACACAAGGCAGTTTCTGGACGACCGTATAATAGTAAATGTACGCTAGTATGACGTAAGGGTTCCATGAAAATTCGCAAATCATTGAAAAAAAAAAATAGCGAAAACTGTCATACAAAGCAGTCCATGCCTTGCTTGTCCGAGAGATTCTGTATTATAACGATAAATCAAGATAGAATACCGTTTTGACGACGTTGAGAACCAATACGTACTTCAATCGTACAAATGGTATGACAAATACGTAGGCTTTGTTCCAGTCGCGCATATATGATCTTGAAGTCTGACTTAAAAAAATGGTCAGAGTAATGATATTAGTGTTAGCTAGATCAACTTTTCACAATGTTCATTTTTCAGGATCTGATTCAAGCGACCATAGTTGCGGCCAGCTCGGTACTATTAGCATGGTTCAGTATTACGGTCATCGGATGGGACCAAGCCCGGTACAAGGAACCGCCAAACCGAACAACACTACAGTTAGTTCAGCCCACCGTCAGAGACAGGTGAACGCGTAGTTAAGGAAAAAAAAAAAAAAAAAAGTAATTAATTAAAACAATACGCACACGATTCCATTTGTTGAGTATTCTGCACAAGGCGGTCCCACATTGGACGTAATCTAGCATGCCATATAAATGTACTCGTCGAAATAAGCAACCGTATTCTCGAAGGGGCAATGCCGATGCTATAATAAATGACCAGTATCGCCGTCCGTATTTAGCAATAGATGATAGAAATTCTATATTGATGATCGTGAGATACTTTTGGCAAATTGGGTCAAAAATCTTGATTTTTAGTAAAATGACGATTAGAGGTTAAAAAACGATCGTCTATCCCTGAAGCTCCAGATATCCAAATTTACTGCAGGCAATGACAATTCACCCAATTTTCTAAATTTGTTATTACACACACACACACAACCAACGCACAGGCTGTTGATTCTTTTCCCATTGCATGACGTACGTTGGCGTGTCCGCGTACGGCTGACCGTCGACTTACATCAAAACAAACGTATGCCAAAGCTACACGTCATTTATAGAGAATACACAAATTGGGCTCATTTTGGGATAGTTTCGAAACTGATCGCCATAACTTGTTGAAATATATATATGTTAGAGTCACGAAAGTGGGAGAAAAGCATCGCTTTCATCGGATCCTTGTTAGCCAAATCTTCGCAGGCTTTGGTTGCAAAATAAGTTCTCATAGACGGCAAAGGATTAGCCGGAATTAACGACTAACGAAACCGTTTCATTCGGACTCATCACCGTAGGGGGTCATTCCTCGCCTAAAAACCCCACCAAATTACGGCTATTGATATCGAAATTTAATAATACCAAATAAAATGTATATGACACTGCACACGAACTAGCCTACACTGTGACGCATGTAGCTCAACACGCGCCCAATTCTCGCCTTGAGTCGACCGTCTTTTCTAGGTCAGAGCTGCTTTACGTGAAAATACACGAGCGGGGCCATTGATCAATTTCAATCGTTTGTCTAACGTTTATGTAAAACGGGAGCGTCTAGTAAGGCTGTTCGCGCAAGTATTGCGCCACGTACTTTCTAACTGTTACTTTGTTAAGTAATATAAAAGAAGTTGTCTCCTACGAGCCAGAAATTCGTAGCGAATCTTTCACACATGTACAATGTGTGCCTCCATTTAAATTGTGGTCATCAGCTGGGACACTGCGTCAAATTGCGAACGTCCTTGGAGAAGCTAAGAGTTGTGACGACCGTTTCAAATGGTGTTCTGACGCTGTATCGGACACTCTTTTCTTTATTTCACTTTTTGTTGGACACTTAATAACTACAAGACATCGACAACAAGCGATCAATTCGCTTGTTATTTCGTTTCTATAATAAGAACTATATTTCTGCCAATTGGTGCGATATAGGTGCACAGATTATTCTCATGTTCCTCGTAAATGATTGGGCAGAGTGTCGAAAAGTTCAGAGGAAGCTCTGACTAGATAAAGCACGATTTCGGCACTCATCAAACAAATTACGAATATAAAGATAATACTATAAATGCAAGCTTTTATCTACCTTCTAATAGGAGGAGATCGGTTGCTTAACGAATGATTCTATTAGTTAATAGATGTGTTAGGTGTTGCTTCTTTGAGGCACTACTGTTAAAATAAATAAAGAAAATTGTCAGTCTTCTACCTCGATGTTTACGCAAAAATATCTCCGTAACTATATACCTGTCACAGAGAATAGGCACAAGTTGCAAGTAGAAACTTCGCTAGGTCGTCAGCATGAACAGGAACCTTACCTGCTAGAGAAATAAATAGGTTTACTGGCGGCCACTGTACTTCCGACTGCGTTTGACGTTGAAGTAGGTACATAAGTCGCTAACAAGGGCACCCACAGCAGGCAAATGGTAAATGGTCGCATTTCCTGTCCTTTTTCAAGAACTATAGTACAACAACCGGATATCCTTGAAGCGTTGCACTGGCAGAGCTGCGCTTGTCCGTGTTGCTACCCCGTTAACCTGCAATGTGCCATAAGTGTTTCAGTTAGGCACTTTCGAAGAAAGAAACGCTCTTCTCTTATGTTTGGTTCACTAGCACCGGCTTCCCGTCTGAGCGGGCCCTTGGACAAACTAATCGCTCGAGTGAAGTGACGTTAAAAATACGTTTTAGAATAACAGGTGAAATTTGTCAAAAACAGGTTGGTCATCAAAAACTGCCGAGATAAGCAGTGCCATGCACCTTCCGATCGCACTTGAATGAAGTGTTCGCCGCTCTTGTAAACTTATATAGCTGGCGAGAGGGGGGCACCGTTCGATTTCACTGTGTTTGATCGTGCACGTGCGAAGTTCCGTGCAATTCTCCTCGCACCTTGCGAACTAACTGTTGTTGCTGTACGTAAGAAAATAGCCATCGTCAAACGGGAGCTCGGCTGTCATCGCCAACGGCCACCGTCATCATCCTTATTGTCATCAAGAAAGTTCGACTGAAGCCGGACGTTCCAGCGTCGTTGTGGTCACAGCTGTCGCTAGAGCCGCGCGCCAGTCCTTCGTCCTCCTTTTGTCGTCGCTCACTTTTCAGCAGTAACTTTTACCTTGTCATTTTCTAACGTACTGCCCAATGTTCTGGCTTGCGGGAACAGAATTTGCAGAAACGAGTGACTGAAGTGCGCCCGAAATCGAACTCTTTTAGATGTCAGGGAAAATGACTAGTCGTTGGTTGCATTAGAGGGGATTTATCTAGTTGGGAACATCGACGTTGGGCATCAGTATTTAACATTATGTTCCGGATAACGACCCGACAAAGATAAATGCGGCAAGCGCATTCATACGGATACGGCGATAGATAAAATGCATCCGGCACGCTCTGATGCTGCAAATGTATCGCAGTATCGTTGGTGCCGGAGTAGCAGCAGCTGCTGTTGGCCCGTACACCTACTCTTAGTTCGTGTGATTCAATGGCGAACGCTACGCGCGGTAGACCGGATCCGACATATCAGCGAAACGTTAATCGGGGTAGCATGCGCCTACACGATACATCGACAAACCGTACAGCCATACTGGTAACCACCATAATAACAAACATCGTACGAATCAGCATAATACCATTTGTTCTTTTGTATCTCCAGACCCATGAGACCCCTATACTAACAGCTTTCAGCTGTCAGTATAGGGGTCTCATGGTTATTCGATCGAGTATTTTGTCCAACTAAAAGTGGCCGGTTGATTTTCGAGTGAATCTTTGCGGCATTGCTCCTCTGTCTGTTGTTTTATTACTCTTACCGAATTGAAGGAACATGAATACAAAACGTAACGGTATAACACGATTGTACAGATACGAATAAGCGTTGCATGGAACCGTTTTTTGTGCCGGTGTATTCATAATCATTGATACGGGTTAGCAGCGCGACTAACTCTCGACCCGAAGATGCAGCGTGAGTTGCAACCATTTGATGGGCAGTAATCGATTTTGGAGGGTGCTGGCGGAGCGTCTCGGGTCGCGCTGGGATGGTGCACATTTGGACACTCGTTGAATCCTTACCGACACGGAAACGACTACGGACGAACGGTTATTGGTGTGATTTCGCTATCGAGAGAGGGATCCACGGAAGGGAGTTACGCAGGCTATAGTATGGCGACGGTGCTGCTCAACAATACGAACTAACGATACTGGACGCACGAGCGGGGCTGATGGTGATAGCTATGCCACTGTACAATATATTAGACACCGTATCAGGCCGCCAAGTAACTGTCGCTCTTGGGTGGGAAAAGCAAGTCAATAAAGAAACGTTTAGGCTAGAATTCTGATTGATAAATAAGGAACAACAGCTGCAGTAATGTTACCGCCGGGCAGCATGGGCAGGTCCACGAACCGGACTAGCCAAATTTATACACTGCAAATGCCGGGATGATGGTGATAAACATGGACACCAGATCATATTAGCTATTGTTGACACGCGTAATGTCGAAAAGCGCTTATGAACAAATTCAAACATCGGGTTTATGGACATGAGGCGACGAATGGCAAATCGATTTGTACTAGCGTAGGTAAAAAAAAAAAAATAGCAAATTGGGCCTTAGTTTCTGTTTATGCTTATAAGGTAAAAAATCAATACGAGAGTACCCTATTACCCTTTCTATGAATACTATTGATTTTAGCTGTTTATGTGATTGCAATGTTTCGGCCTAATGAAAGCAGCACTAGGCCCTCATAGAAGACGGCGCACGAATTATGTTTACTTTACGGGTATAAGCACCTTGTGGCATAAAATAGTGCGTCCTTATCTAGGGATGCGCTGAAAAGAGATATGTGAACTTGTTAAATACAAATAGATACGACGCTAAACAGCATTTATGTGATGGTCTCTATTTATTTCTATAGTGCTAGCGACAACGAGGTATAGACTTAGGTATAGGTATAGGTTTAGATCAAAGGATAAGACATTTTGCAACCTTTCACTGAGCACCTTTAAAACCCACTTGGAAAGGATTTTCGAAATAGCTCATATAAGCAACTTTATAGTAGTTCTTACAATAAAATTATAACAGTACACTTATCTGTTCTGTTAATTGGAATCGAGAGCCGTAAGCATACGGGGCTACTATTACAAGTATTGAATTTTTCAGCGATAACAACAAAACCCTTAATTTGTTATCATTCCAAAAAGGGCAATTATTATTCGGCCGGATATGCATTACCATATTGTTCATAGTATTCTAGTATACTATCCAATACACCTAAAACTTCCCTATTTAAATTAAAATAAGGCCCGAAAAATTCAATGCTCTATGAGTCATAGAGACAGAATGCAGAGCCCGATATGTTTTTGTTGTCCACGTCGTGGTGGCTTTCTGGTAGTGTAGTAATTGCGAATATAGTCTCTTCAAATGCCCAGGGGCGGTTATTTTTGCTAGCAGCCTATCGTTTACTAGCTATAAACGACGCTCGCTCATAAACCGCGCGTTCAGATTAAAAGCCGTACATGAGTAGGAACACGGGAAAAAGTGGACAGGGATTCTGCAATTATGCATTTAAATAATGACGCACAACACTGCAATAAAAGTTAGAGATTGTCTGTCCATTCATGTCTATAGTAGATACGCACATAAGGATCGATTGATGTTTCCGGTAAGAACATGTAGAAATAGATAAATAACCATCTTTCGAGTATCGTTGATACGACCCTGATTGCAGTTGTACAGGGTTCAAGTATACGCTTGATCAACTATGCCTTGACTATTAGATTTCAAATGGTGTTTAGAACGGGCGAGCCTTAACATTGCCTGTTTTTCTTAAATATAAGGAACAAAATGAAACGGCTTATTAACGAGAAGCGATTATGCCGACATAGAAAATAGAATTACCTGTTTGTTAGACGTCCATATTTCTATTATGGCGCGTCTACGGCAGGGCGGTTGTAATGCTGCAGAATGGTTTTAGCTTAGATCCAGGCTATGCGAAATATTCGACGTTTTCCTTGGATTCATGAACGAATATTGTTTGTGTTACCTTGCACAAGGTCGGACCAATGGATCTGTGGCAATGTTCCCTATGGCTTTTTCTCCCATTACTCGTACCAGCTGAATCGGCCTAAACCAATCCCGCATACGTTCAGTAGCAAAGAATACAGAAGTGTACAACCGAACAGAGGTAGCAGCCTTTTAAACTATAATCAAATGTACAAAAAGGTACCTTAATTTCGTGAGAAACCATTTGTCTAGAACTGGGCCTCTGCTTCAATTTAGCTAACTGGCCATTGTGCTTATTTTTGTGTTTGCTACTTTTTTTTGTGTTCACAGATCGTATTTACGATGTGAAAATATCGACAAAAATAAACCCAGAATGTCATTCATAGTTAAATGTGTTCGACTGAGTTGGCTTCTCGCTTTATTTCAACATGGCGAAAATTTACGCCATAATCAAAAGTTCCATTGCATTTTCGAGCAACGGCTTGCAAGGTTCACAATGATAAATCCAAAGATCCCATCGTCTTCTCTCAATAAAATGCCAAGTATCCCTGTGATTAGCACTCTTCATGTAGCGTGGCATTGTCCGTCTTGCAATGAAGAAATGTCCTAAGTTAGTTTAATCATGACAAGTTTAGTCGTAAGAGTAATCAGTGGCCTACTCTGCCTGCATCCGCATAACGGACCACTTGTATGGGAGCATATGATTTTTAGCTAATCGTCTTTGCAGCGTCGAGTGACCATTGTCACTATTATTATATGTACATTTTTATTAATAATACTAGATCCGCAGCCTGGAACTTGTTTTACAAACGGGCTGCAATACACTGGATTATAAGGCTTGCCAGTCATTTTTAATTAAGACAGTAATTTCAGTCAGAACGTCTTTTAAATTATATGTTAGATGCTGTAAATGTCTGAAACAACGCTAGCCGCACAAAAATAAAATATATATTTAGATCCACATAAGTGGATAATATCTGTCCGTGAATCTAAAAACGTCTAGATAAAGTAACGTTTTCAAATGCCGCACGTTATTAGCGCATTGAATGGGCCCGGTTAGGATAGAAAAATGATGATAATGCTCTAAAACATAGTTTCCTCTATCCTGGCGAAGATCAAAGAAGGTTTGGCAATGTAAGACAGCGACGTCTTTGTCTTTCTCTCTCTTTTATTTTCTGCCATTGTCTCGGTACGCCATTCCCGAATTTATGTCTCTAGCAAGACCAACCTAAAATTAGCCGCCATCATCGTTCTCTCTTTTGAGAAATGTGAGTCATCTTGAAGGTTTAATGGGGAAAACGGCGCAGTGAGCAAACCAGAAAATAAGAGAAGCAGTGTACCGGCACTAGAAAAGGGTAATCACTTTTCATTTAAAGAGAGAGATCGGAAAGATGGAACGCGTTTAGTTTCTGATCAAAGAGGGGTGTCCGTAAAGGTCCTTAAGAGGGGGCGAAGCAAAGCAGTCGTACTATGGAGAAATCAGAGCCTTGCCATCCGGTTCGATTTCAGGTCGACAAATTATCTGAAGCGGGGAAAAAGAGTCGCAGGACGGCTTCGCCACAAGGTCCGCCGGCACTTAAAAAGGAAAGACAGTCATTCCGTTGATTTCTGGTAGAAAAACTGAAAGAGTTAGAAAGTAGCGTCGGTTCTACAAATTTTACCTTTGTTGCCACTTAAGATAGTCAGCTTGCTCGGGATTCGTAGCGTCCCACCCTCGACGGAAAATATGTACCGTAGAACGCATTGCTGTGGGGGTTGCAAGAGTATGAGGTTTTAAGGTTTTCAATAATTGGTGATTTTTTAAAACACCTAGTAATACGTTTGTTTGTTTAAATATGTGCTTAATTACATACTT